CACCCACACATACACACACAAGAAAGAGCGCAACGAAAAAGAACAACGGATACAAAGATCGCGCCATGTGCTTCGCGCTTACTGTTCACCTTCACCCCATCCCCTCTTTCCCTCTCTTTCTCTCTCTCTCTCTCACACACACACACACACACACACAAACACACACGGCTGGGTGCCGCTGGCTAAGCAAAGTTGGACTACCCACTTGCCCACTTGCCTCTAGTCTAACGTGAGCAACACTTGAAAGGCCAGTTTTGGACCTTCTGGAAGTATGTGGACTTCGCCTTTGAGGACTGTAGCAGTTACAACCTCGACCTTTCAGGACTGTAGCAGCTACGACCTTGACCTTTCAGAGTTGCAACTACGTCCCCTACACAGCTATGACCTCTTCTCGACAGACCTACAGTTCAAGACCTGACAACTAAACAAACCTACGATAGACAACAGTCGACTACCAAAACACAAGTCACGGGTTCAAAACACACAGGGTCTACCTAGTACAGTACATGGCGAGGTAACGTCCAAGGATCGAGCCCTGGGATCTGCATTTGTTACCGCAAAGGTGAAAACTGTTTCACTCCGACGGCTTAAATTCGAGGTCCTCTGAGAATACTTCAGTCCAAGGCAAGACCTTTACCTCTTATCTCTCTCATAGGCTCGAACTACATCGGGAGCGGTCTCTCGAAGTTCTGTTCGTGTGAACCAGTGGCCGTCCTCTGTTTCTGTGGACGACCTCTACCTCCTGTCATGAACGCATCTTCACCTACTCAGTGGTCAAGGTCGTACCTTCCATCCATGTTCGAAGGGTTCATAGATCTCCGTGATGGAAATTGTTGACTTGTGGTACACGGCAACAACTTTGACGCATGGAAAACAGGGTAGGTGTGGAGATGTGTTGGAATCTCTATGGTGTCGGACGGTCCATCTTCTCCGCCCTTAACTTCATGGACTGGCTCCGGTCCTCTATACGCAGGCAATAGCTTCTGCGAGATGTTCTCCTCAGGAGCAAACTCCTTTTATTTGACCCGGAGTAAGTCGCCTACTTGGAGTTGTGATGGACGACGATGTTTGTTGGCTTGTTCGATCATCTTGTGTTGGGCCTTCCTGAGGTTCTCTACAACGGTAGCTATCTCTTTCTCGTGCTGGATCGCGAACTCCCTTGTACCGGGCGGTAGCCTCTGGATCTGACCCCGATTCAGTCCCTCAAACGGTTTGCGCGGTCTAAAGGACTTGTGCAACTCGTTGGGAGTACGAAAATTCGCGAAATGTACACTGTTGTTGTATGCACTGGCTACCTTTGGGAGCATCTCGTCCCACTTGACTTCATCGGGTCTGATATACATTCTAAGAACCTGTTGCAGGATATTGTTCATCAGTTCAGTCTGACCGTTAGTCTCTGAATGATGGCCAGATGACATCAACAACTTGAGAGCCATAGACTCTCATCAATTCCTGCCAGTTTTGACTAGCGAACCTGGTATCTTCGTCACTAACTATCGACAACAGTAGACCATGCACACTGACCCAATGATCAAAGAACTTATCTATAACTAAATATGTACGTGCCTCTTAGTGCAAAGGAACAAAAGTCGCATACGTACTAAATCTATGAACTATAACCACGACTTGGCTCTTGCCATGCCTACTCCAGACCCCAGCATCCATAAAGTCAATGGACACAGAATCTCTGGGTTCCGCGGGAATAGGCAATGGTCTGAGAAGACCAAGAGGGGCTGCGTAGTGGTCTTATTCCGCTGGCACACCTTGCAACTGCGTACAGACTCTATGCAGTCGGCCTTCATACCTGGCCAAGTATACGTGCAAATAAGTTTGGCTAACAATTCTGCCAACCAAAATCTCCCTCTGTCCCTCTGTGTCGTGACATTCCCCTAAGATCAGACTACGGATCTCTTCGCTGTTAGGAACGCATAAACGATCGACTACACTAGTCTTCTAGAATAGCAACCCGTTTGTAGTGCGGTAGTCTGGTTTAGACTTTGGGTGCTCCTTAACTCTCTTAAGGAGATCACTATAAATAGGGTCCTATGCATACGCTTCCTTGACTTTCTGCTGCAGGTCTTTCCCTATATCTAGATAGTGAACTATCGCTCCAAAGTAATCATTTCTTCTACTTGGAGCATATGCGACTACGTTATACTTCCCTTTAACTAGCTTGAGCTCGAAGTCAAACTGGTCTATTTATACGGCCCACCTAATAAGCTTAGGTGTCATTTTGGCCTGCGTCTTCATCCACCTCAACGTCTTGTGGTCTGAATACACTTTGAAGTGCCTCCCAAGCAAGTAGTGGTTGTAGTGATCTAATATTTGCCTGAGAGCGTAAAGTTCTTTCTCGTAGGTAAATGTCGCTACCTTCTCTGAAGGCATCCTAGCAGACATGAACTCTACGGATTTATACCCATTGCCATCATTTTGCTATAAGACAGCACCTATACCATACTGACTTGCGTCAGTGGTGACAACAAAGGGCAAGGATGGATCGGCTACCTTGGGGACATGGTACTCTATCAAGGTCCGCTTTAGCTTCTTCAGGGCTGACATACAGTCTCTATCCCACTCCCAAATTGCTTCCTTCTTTAGCAACGTGCGAAGAGGTGCAATGATGGTACAAAAGTTCCTTACAAACTTCCTATAGTAATTTGCTAGGCCAAGGAACAACCGCAACTCTATCAATGTGAGGGGCGTTGGCCAATCTCTAATCGCCGCTATCTTATTGTCCTCATGTTTTATGCCACCTCCATCTAAGACGTGCCCCAAGTACATAACTTGTGTCTTGGTCCACTCACACTTCTTTGCGTTGATGCCATCTCGATCTAAGGCATGGCCCAAGTACAAAACTTGTGTCTTGGTCCACTCACACTTCTTCGCGTTGATCTTGAAGTTAGCTTCCCTTAGCTTCTCCAAGACCTGCCTCAGATGGCCCTCATGCTCTTGGAGGACCTAACAAAACACTAGAATATCATTTAAGTACACCACTACGAATCTATCTAACCATGGTCTAAATAGATCGTTCATACAGTGCTGGAATGTAGATGGCGCATTTGTTAGTCCAAAGGGCATCACTATAAACTCGTAGTGCCCATATCTAGTCCTGAATGTCGTCTTGTACTGATCATCAGGATGTAACTCTATTTGATGATAGCCTGACTTCAAATCTATCTTAGAGAAGTACTTGCAGCTCTGCACCCGATCTAACAGATCATTTATACGGGGCAGTGGTTTTGCATTCTTTACTGTGACGACATTAAGACCCCTATAGTCAATGCACATTCTAAGCTCTCCCTCCTTCTTAGGGACAAATAGAACAGGTGCTAAACGGAGATGAACTGAGCCTAATCCAACCCTTTTCAAGGAGCTCGTCTAACTGCTTGCGCAACTCCTCTAACTCCCTTGGGGACATTCTATAGACAGCTCCCTTATGAGTCCTACTGCCAGGCTCTATCTCAATGCGATGCTGGATTGGCCACGACACTACTCCTGTAGGCAGCTCAGACAAATCTGCATATTCTCCAAGCTTGGTAATGGAAGGGTCGATCAAATCTTCTAGCTGCTCTTTCTTCACTAACCTTGCGAGTGCAGGAGCGCTGAGGCAACAATGTGCTAAGGGGTTACCTATCCAAGGCGAGCAGTCTTAACTTCACCTGACTGGGCTAGGGAGACTACACTCGTGCTCTCTCAAATGGAGTGTGGCTCTCTTAGGAGTCCTACTGCCAGGCTCTATCTAAATGCAATGTTGGATTGGTCGCGGCACTACTCCTATAGGCGGCTCAGACAAATCTGCAGATTCTCCAAGCTTGGTAATGGAAGGGTCGATCGAATCTTCTAGCTGCTCTTTCTTCACTAACCTTGCGGGTGCAGGAGCGTTGAGGCAGCAATGTGCTAAGGGGTTATCTATCCCTGACACATGAAACAGGCGAGCAGTCTTAAACCACTAGTACCTCCGCCAGTGTTGGGAAATTACGATGTTTTGCCAGTTCCCGAAGTTATTGGGGGTGGGACACAGGGTCGACACTGTCCCATAAATCAGATTTTGATATTGCCCGCAAGTAAAAGAAAAAGGAAAAAAAGAAAGTACTATCTCTACTGCAACGATGTCGGGCAGGGTAGTCTTGGACGCCGTGCTCATAGTCTTCTCCACAGAATGCACCTCACCAATAAGGCGATCACATTCTGGATGTTACTATTTTTTTTTCTTCCTCATGTGTTTCTTATAAGTCCCCTGCCAACGAGGCACGGGGGAATCCGTGAATTCCTCAAGCCGTCTGTGATCTGCTCAAGCTGTGTTTTGTGAGAGGAGGAATGTATCCAGCCATTTTTACGGCCGGATCCGTGTGCCCGTTTCCCCCCCTTCTATTCTCTTTTTCAAATCTGATAACCTGGCCACGGGGCTGAGATGCCCTCACTGAGGGCACACTCACACTACCACTTCCAAGAATGTATACAACTGCAATCACGACCAAAGCTTTGTTTTGTTTTTTTCTTTTCTTTTTTTTTGAGTTCACGGCCGCAACTTTTTTTTTTTTTTTTTTCTTTCCGTGAGAGTACCAGAAAGAAAACGGAGTGGTACCCAGGCTCCGCAAACTCGGAGCGCAGTGAAATTCAGGGTCGGCAAAAACAGGCTCGGAAGTACTAGTGGTTTAACTTCATCTCAAGGTTGAGGAGCCTACACTCGTGCTCTCTCGAATGGAGTGTGGCCCTTGTTGCCTCTCCCTAGTCCATTCCTAGGACCATATCAAATGGGAGATCATCCTCGACGAGGAGAGTCAGGGTATGGAGAACTCCCTATCTTCCCATTTTTCTCTAGGCGGAAGTATGTTTGGACTCCCTCGACATAATCCTCGACTCGCATCTTCCGATTGTCGGTAAGGATGTTGACTATGGTTCTTTATTTCTTTTAAAATTTTGCATCTGCATTTTTTTTAAACACCTCATTTCCCTGCAGAAAACAAAAATCCAATTCTAAAAAAAATACAGGTGTACTCAGGGACCATATATCTCATGATAAAAGGTGGCAAAAAAAAATTCATGCTTTTCTTATATCTGTTTGTGACGATATATATATATATATCGTCAAATAGAACTGCCCGGTAAACCGTAGGCAGAGAGGGGGAAGAGGACAACAGATATATATATATATATCGTCAAATAGAACTGCCCGGTAAACCGTAGGCAGAGAGGGAGAAGAGGACAACAAACGAGGGGCTGTGACAAACTGTTTCGTCGGAGTTTCACCGACTCATCAGGAGGCTGAACCCTCAACAGTCTGCAGAATCCCCTCACTGATTACACTGTAAATGATAATCTACCTTAACCAAAATCAAAGTAGACTATCACTCACCCACACCAGATGGAAAACTCTACAGACTGTCGGTTCACACCCCATCACAAGCCAGCAAAACATCCACGAAACAAAGAAAGGTCTATCACAGCCAAAAAATACACTCCAGACACGCCGCTGGCACTAGAGGCACAGCATGGCCGCGTAGTGACGGCCCCGACCACTGCCGCTCGACCTGACCGGAGAAAACCGTAGCAGGAAGCTAGCGAAGTCGTAGTATATATATATATCGTCACAAATATATATACATATTTTAATCGATTTTAGTTTTTGATTTTTTAAAAATCCTAAACAAAGTCGGATTCCAAAAAAACAAATATAGGAGTAGGGTTTTTCGAGCCGTACACCCCCATTTTTTTTTAATTATTTTTTACGTATTTTTAGGGGGGGAAAAATATATATTGAAAAAACAGGCCGCGGAATGGGTATTATCGGCCGCGGCTGCGGCCCAAAATGCCCGCGGCCTAGGCCGTGGGTGTCACATTGCATCGAGGGAGTCCGGGCATATTTCCGCCTAAAAGCAAATGGGAAGGAAGAGAGAGTTCTCAATTACCTGTCTTTCCTCGTCAAAGATGATCTCCCATTCGATATGGTCTTAGGAATGGATTGGGGAGAGGCAGCAGGAGCCACACTGCATTTGAGAGAGCATGAGTGTAGGCTTCCTAGCCCTTCAGGTGGTGTCAAGACGGCCCGTATGTTTCATGTGTCAAGAGTAAATAGTTCTCTGGGGCATTTCTATCTCAGTGCTCCTGCGTTAGCTCAATTAATTAAGAAGGAGAAGATAGAAGAGCAGGTCTTTGTAACCTATATTAGGCAAGTCACAGAGCCTAATGAAGAGAAACGACTCAACCCCACTATTGCCAAGTTGCTGGAAGAGTACGAAGATCTGTCTGAGGCTCCTTCTGGAGTCGTGCCACGTCCAATCCAGCACCGCATTGAAATAGAAGCCGGCAGTAGAACTCCCAAAGGAGCAATCTACAGAATGTCTCCTAGAGAGTTAGAGGAGCTCCGCAACCAGTTAGACGAGCTCCTTGAGAAGGGTTGGATTAGGCCCAGCTTATCACCTTTTGGAGTGCTTGTTCTGTTTGTTCCCAAAAAGGAGGGAGAGTTGAGAATGTGCATTGACTACAAAAGTCTGAATGCTATTACAATCAAGAATGCAGAACCACTGGCCCATATAGATGATCTGCTAGACCAGGTCTAGGGCTGTAAGTACTTTACAAAGATAGACTTATAAGTCAGGGTAACATCAAATTGAAGTCCACCCTGCAATCAGCACAACACGGCATTCAGAACCAGATATGTGCATTATGAGTTCATAGTGATGTCATTTGGACTGACTAATGCACCGACCACTTTTCAGCGTTAAACGATTTGTTCAGACTGTGGTAAGATAAGTTTGTAGTAATGTACCTAGATGATATTCCTAGTCTTTCGCAAGACCCTCCAGGAGCATAAGGGTTATCTGAGGCAGATCTTGGAAACGTTGCAAAAAGCAAACTTTGACGTCAATTTGAAGACGTGCGAGTAGGCCAAGACCGAAATCTTGTACTTGGGCCACGTGCTAGATGGAGATGGTACCAAACCTGAGGACAGTAAGAGCGCAGCGATTAAAGACAGGCCAACTCCTCGAGCGATTATAAACTTTTCTACTATCGCACCTCCCCTTCGCAGACTGCTAAAGAAAGAAGCAATCTCGAAGTGGGATCAGGACCGCACCTCGACCCTAATGAAGTCGAAGCGGGCCCTGGTTGAGTATCCAGTCCTCAAGGTAGTCGATCCATCCTTACCCTTTGTTGTCATTACAGACGCGAGTCAATATGGTATTGGTGTTGTGTTACAACAAAATGATGGCAATGGGTACAAACCCATAGAGTTCATGTCTGCTAGACTACCATCAGAGAAGGTAGCAACCTCCACTTATCAGAGAGAACTTTACGCTCTCAGGCAAGCTTTAGATCACTAGAGACATTACTTGCTTGGGAGGCACTTTAAAGTTCACTCAGACCACGCGACTCTGAGGTGGTTAAAGACGCAAGCCAAGATGACACCTAAGCTTATTAGGTGGGCTGTCGAGATTGACCAGTTTGACTTTGAGCGCAAACACGTCAAAGGAAAATATAACGTGGTAGCAGATGCTCTGAGTAGGAGAGTTGACTACTTTGGAGCCATACTTCACTTCTTCGATATAGGGACTGATATGCAGCAAAAGGTGACGGACGCATATGCTCAGGACCCTATCTATAGTGACCTCCTAAGGAAAGTGCAGTAAGCCCCCGATAGTAAGCCGAATTATAGCACCAGGCACGGGTTAATATTTGAGAAGACAGACGTGGTCGACAGACTATGCACCCCCAACAGTGAAGAGATCCGAACTCTGATCATAGGGGAATGCCACGTTACAAAGGGACACTTCGGCTGACAAAAGACTTTAGCCAATCTCGTACGTTCCTATACTTGGCTTGGCATGAAAGCTGACTGCATAGAATATGTTCGCAACTGTAATGTATGCAATGAACCCAGATCGTGAAGACAGTCGTCAACAATGCAAGCCCAGATAAACATCAACCGGCTGATGATTACCAATAGTCAAAATCGTGTC